GGCTCTGCGCGCAGATGGCAGCCGGGGCCTCCGTCCGGGGCTCCCGCACGGCGGACGAGCGCCCACGCCGACCGCACCCCCGCCTGGCGTCTCTGACCAAAGGGGAGCCCCTTGAGGCCTGCACAGGGGTGCTCCGGAGGCCCCCGGCTCGGGTGACCTGCCCAGAACCCTCCAAGACCAAGGGCCGGGAGGGTCAGGAGGGGGGAGGAGAGGCGGATCAAAGTCCCAGGCTGGCCCGGGCCGGCCGGGAGGGGGAGCGCCCCGCTCCCCCAAGATAGGGGGGAAGAAAGGCCATGGAACTCGGTGGTCCGCGTGGGTATATGCGTGTGCCCAGGTGGGCTCTGGCCTTGGCTTAGCTCTGTCCCCGCCCCCCCTTCTTTCTCACTTCGCATCCAGCTGCTGGCCCCGCAGCTCAGTGAGGAGGGCCTGTAGAAGCAACAGCCTGGCCTGCGCCAGTCTGGGCAAAAGTGGGATCCTAGCTCAAAAATAACCAGCACAAAATGGATTGGAAGCGTGGTTCAAGCAGGAGAGCAATTGCCTAGCAATCACAAAGCTCTTAGAACCACCAACCTCCCCCCATGACACCCCCCCTCCCAATCTTAAGTGTTAAATGTGTCCTGGAATTGGTGAGGCTCCTGTGTGCAGCTGCAGGAGAGGCGGTTTCCTCCTGCCCGGAGGAAGATGTTGTCGGCTGAGGAAACTCTGAAAAGGAGCTGGCCGAAGGGCCGGGAGGGCTAGAGGCGCCTTTCAGGACCCAGACGCCACACAGCACTGCAGGTGGCCAGCATGTACGCAGTGCGGTCCCGCCTGCATCCTGCGGCCGAGCTCTGGGGCCAAGGCTGCCCTGGGTGCGGCTTCTGGTCCCCCTGGGTTACAGCTCTGCCCACCGTCCTGAGCCTTGTCCAGCACGCCTCCCACCCTGGCTGTTGGCAGCTGCTTTGTGTTAACTGTCATCTTTGCGACTGAGATCTCAAGTTCAAAATGGAGACGCTGCCCCCAGGGGCACAGCTCGGCCACCGCGTGTGTCCCGTGCAGTCCACGCCCTGGTGAAGCTATCTCCCAAGTGTAAAGACCAATGTCCTGCGGTTGCAATGTCTGTACACCTAAGTGGATTGAAGGTTGTTGGGTGACGGGGTAGAAAATCATGTGGGTCTTTTCCCTCAGTGAAAAAGCAAAAGTAGAACTGACATGACATATTTTTTGAACACTCATCGAATTCCTTTACAACTCGAATAAATTCCATAGCACTCTCCTAACATGCAATACCAGTAACAGTTCTTAAATGTTGGCAATAATTACTGAAGCTTGAGTATCAGAATTGTTAACTTTATTATTCCCAGCAAATCACGTTTGTTAGTGAGCTTTGTTTTGTAGCTGTTCCACTGTCACAGCTGCGGCTCCCGACGCCCGGCGTGCTGCAGCGCCTGGAGCTTGTCCACTGTCCTCTGACGCTAAATAAACGCGCGTGGCTGCTCTGTCATGTAGATAGCTTTCAGTAGTCATTTCGCATCTGCTCCTTGTGAAGTTCAGTGAGCCCACACAAACGCTTCCAAGTGCTGCCAGATGATCAGCCCCGTGATACGCTGCCTCCCCTGCCCGAGCTGAGTGTGTCACACTTGACACCTAGTGAAACGTGTGTTGTGTCAAAGCTGCTGCTGCGACAGGACCACAGTACCCTCCGGCGGGCCGCGGGCCGCGGGCCACCCTGGGCCGCCTTCCCGCCTCTGGTGCCCAGCGCGTGCCTGAGCTTTGAGCCTGAGGCCAGGCAGGGCAGCAGCAGCTGGTGGCGTCGCCCAAGGCTTTGAGGGAGGGTGCGGATGTGTGGACCCAGGGTGATGGCCAAGGGCGGGCAGGCCTGAGCCCCCGTCTGCTGTCCTGGGTGGGGCGGGGGGGGTCCTACAGGCTGGCCATGGCCCAGCAGACCCCGACCCTCCGGGTCCAGGCTGCCCTTCCGCCACAGTGGCTTCAGCTCAGGAACTGGAGAGGCTCCGGGTGCCCCAGGCCCCATCTTCCCGCCTGCGTGTCTTGGGCTGCCCTCGACGGGCCGCACCCTCCCTGTCCCGCGTTCCTGACTTGGTGCTGTCTTTTGTGGTAGCGACCAGAGGGCACGGGTCCTGCGTGCCATCTTCCATCAGGGGCAGGAGGGGGCTGGCGGCAGGCAGGAAAGAGCCAGCGTGGCAGGGCCTGGACAAGCAGCTAGTTGTAGGCAGGGACAGTGGCGACCCCAGAGGCTGCCAGCGCCCACCCTGTCATCACTGCAGTTAGGGACAGACCGGAGGCTCCTCAGCCCTGGCTTCTCCCGCTCTTTCCTACAGCAGTTCCCAAGGTGCTGAGATGATAGGTGTGCACAACCACCCCCTGCTGATGAACGATGGATTCACTCAGTGAAGAGCAATGCCGCCAGCTGGGGGGGGGGGCAGGAAGTTCGCCTGGCAGGTGTTTCTTGTCCTTTTTTTGTGCCTCTCACTTTACAAGTAAGTGCGTCACTGCTGGTCCGCGCCTGAGATGAGTTAGTGCGGGGAACTCCGGCAGGGCCTGCCTTCTCCCTGGGCACCCCGGCCCCCCAACCAGGTCTGGACTGGATACAGCCTGCAGCGAGGTCCGTCTGGGAGTTGGCCCGACCGCGCGCCAGGCCCGAGGCGCTGTCTGGCCCAGCGTCCCGGCCCCCCACAGCTTGGCCCTGAGCCTCCTTCCTCCCAGATACGCGTCGCGTGAGGAAGCGGACGTGACTTCAGGGGTCCCTTTCTCTGAGCAGTGCCCACTAGGGCGGGGCACGCACACGTGCCTTCCTTTCTTGTAAGTTGTCTTTAAAATGGCATTTCCCGGCCACGCTGGTGGTTCATGCCCAGCCCAGGAGCCGGGTAGCTCCTCAGTGCCGACATGAAATCCCGAGAAACCAGGTGACCACGAGGCCCAGGCGGCTTGACTGGAGGTGCGGGGCGGCAGGCGGCTCCCCTTGGAGGGACGGGGGGGGGGGACGGCAGGGGGACGGGGCAGCGGCTTCACTGCTTCCATCCTTCAACGGCCCCGCGTGCGCCCCGCCGCCCCCAGCCAGTGTCCCACGGAGCCCAGGGCTGTGCGAGCAGTGGCCGCCCGGGCGGGAAGAGGCCACGTTGAATGTCAGTTTCCCCAGTGATGCCCGCGGCAGTGCCAGGCCGTCCTCACCGGAGCCGCCCGCCCCGCGTCCCCTTCGCTCCTCAGCCCCCGACGCTGCTGGCCTCACACCCAGGGCCACGGCCCCAGCACGGCGGGCGCCTGCTACGGAGCACTTGGGCCTGCCCACGGCCGGAGGCCCAGCCCACTGGTCTGCCCCCTTCCCGCCCACAAGGGGCGACCCCTGGCCTTCCCAGCACGGCAGGGGGGGCCTCCAGGGGGTGCACAGGAGCTCAGCCTGAGGGGATCTCCCACAAGCACCTGACTTGAGAGGGAGGGAGGCTGGGGGGAGGGCAGGGTGGCTGGGGAGTCCGGGAGGGAGGCTGGCTGGGGGCAGGCCGCCCTCAGGCCGGAGCCTGAGCCGTGCTCACCTGCAGCCCCCGAGGAGGACTCAGCATCTCACTGGGTCACTTCCGTCTGTGACACACCCCGGCCCCACTGCCCCACTAGGGCCACTGAAGCCCGCGGCGGCAGCCCGCAGGCGACGGCAGGGGACAGCCCTGCTGCCCGCGAGGCCGTCACAGCCGCTGGGGTCGCTGACGACCAAAGCGGGCAGGTGTCCGCGCCGCGGCCTCCGCACACACGAGCGCTGTGTGAGACGCAGACAGTCTGTGTGCCTCTGAAATGCTGTTTTCAGCTGGGATGTGGTCGCTACAGCCAGGTTAGCTACTGCGCAGTCACTGCTGCGCCTCCAGCGCTGCGCGAGGCAGGGCGGCCCCGCCGGGCGCGGGCGGGGCGCAGGGCGGCCCGCCACAGAGCAGATGACTTGGGGGTCAGTTTCAGATTGTCAGCCCTTATTCATGTCCCTAGGTCTGTCAGATACGCGGGTCTGCGGCTGTCACCTGCAGCCCGACGGTGGGAAGCAGCCCTCAGCTCAGCGCAGGGGAAAGTGTGCCTTAGTGGAGCTGAGCAAAAATTCTGCAGCCCCAGTGTGACCCTTTTTTAAAAAACAATTATTTTTGGTGCAGGCCTAGGGCTTGACCTCAGGCCTGGGGGCTGTCCCTGACCTTTCTTGCTTAAGGCCAGTGCTCTACTACTTGTGCCACAGCTCCACTCCCAGCTTTTTGGTAGTTAGCTAGAGAGAAGAGTTTCATGGGCTTTCTTGCCAAGGCTAGCTTCAATCCTCGGATCTCAACCTCTTGAATAGGATTTCAGGCATGCACCACTGGCTTCTGCCTTGGACTATTTATAATCTTCAAATTATTCCTAATAACTGAGAAGCAAACTTTGGGGTAAGTGCACAGCCTAGGGTAGGGGCAGGGGGAAGCAGTCTTTCTGTCCAAGATGAGCTGTGCACTGCACATCTGGAAAGCGTGAGCTCCTTCCCGGTGGGTGGAGCCACCCCCCACCCACCCCACCCCCTGCTTCTGAGCAGGTGTGGGCTCCCGCTCCCCCTTCCAGGGCCCGCCCCACTGCAGCGTCCTGGCAGGAGTCCTCAGCCCCAGGCCCTGCCCCTCTCCTACCTACTGGGTCAACACACTGAAGGTCAGCTAAGGAATGCAAGGACAGACCGAGCGCCTAGCAACCTCAGGAGGCTGAGGTCTGAGGATTGCAGTTCAAAGCCAGCCAGGGCAGGAAAGTCTGTACAACTCTTATCTCCAATAAACTCAGAAAAACCTGGAAGTGGTGCTGTGGCTCAAGTGGTAGAGCGCTAGCCTTGAGCACAAAGAGGCTCAGGGACAGCGCCCAGGCCCTGAGTTCAAGCCCCAAGACTGGCAAAAATAATTAAAAATAAAAATAAAAGAATGCAAGGACGCAAGAGGCCTGGGGAAAAAACGCTTACGCAAGTGCCTGCAGACTCGTCCTGGGGCCCAGCTGGCTCTGCGGGGCTGGCAGTGTAGCTGCGGCTCTCCACAGGGCTGAAGGCTCTGGAAGTACCGGAAAGTACCTGCACCCTGGTCCCGGGCCCCGGAGACCCTCCACACACCCTCCCCCCATGCTGCCGGCCTCTCCTCCTGGCAGGGCTGAGGCCCAGGCATTACCTCCGGCAAGACTGGAGTGGCTAGACGGATGCCTGCGCCGAGCCCTGGGAACCGGGGGACACCAGCTGGACAGATGTGGCTCCGGAGTGGGGCACGCTGGGCTCCCCGCCTGTGTCTCGCTGGATTAATGCGAACTGCTTTGTTTGCAGGGCTTATTGTCATCCCCAAACCAGGCCAGTTCTCCAGGTGGAACGGTAGTGTAGCGACCCATTGCCGCACCAGACTCCCCGATGCCAGCGGACCAGAGGGTGAGGAAGACCACGCCAGAGCCCTGACCGCACCCGGAGCAGGTGGGCCGGCCGGCCGAGAGACACTGGAGGCCCTGTGGACTGGCGGGCGGCGCTGCGCCCCGCGCCCGCGCCCCGCGGCTCGCCCAGAGGCTGTCCCGTTTGCAAGTCAGTCTCTTGGGGCTGATGAAAAAGAAGACACGCGCGAGGCCTCTTGCTTCTCACTCTCCAACTCAGCGTAATTAAGTCGCATCTAGACATAATATATACAGCTATACATAGTGTAAAGTACAACATTTCTTGGACAAGAAATCTCCTTGGACTGTTAGAAACACTTCTCTCTGGTGTTGCACTGATTGTTTTATACCGTAGTGGTCAGAGGACAGCTGGCGCACAGCAAAGCGCTGCTACCTCTGACTTAACGCGTATCGGGAAGACATGCTGCAGTCCTAGACTTTAAATATTGTTTGCACTTAAAATGGTTCCACGCTGACAGCCAGTGACTGTGCGCAGTGGATTCCTGCCCACCGAGGTGTGAAGACGCCTTTTACCTGTTAACCTATTTTAATACTATTGTTTCCAATGCAATCAACTGTATTTTATGTGTAAATAATGTAATTCTCCAACTGGAGGAACAAGCTCCCTCACTAGTAATTTTCATCACTTAAGAGTGATCTTTCTAATTCACAAAAGTGTTAATATTAAAATTATGTTGCAAATATGATCTGGATGACCGTTTGTTAAGCGGCTCAAGCGAGGGCTCCTCGCAGCTGCGGGTGGGAAGCGGCTGCAGGGGCCTCCCTGGGCTTCCCCCGCCCAAGGCCAGCCGAGCACCCTGGGCCGGCCTCGAACGCCAGGGGACTACAAGTGTGCACTGCCACACCTGGCTAGGGATGTAAGTGTGCCCCACCAGCAGCCATGCCTGGACTCACCGTTTTAAGTGAAAAATAGGAATCTTTAATTCTTAACCAACTTATAAATCCCATTCTGAATGACCATAGGCAAAGCGCAGCGTTTCAAAGTTCTTTGATATTTTGGTCATTCTCAAGCACTGGCTGCAAAGAAGAAATGCCGCCCTGAAGTGCACAGTGCGCGGGGAACTCAGGAGCTGCCTTGCAATCGAGATCAGTTCTTAACCTAGTGAGCCCCAAGAGCCTGCGTGTATAGGGAAATGACAGGTGGAAATCTCATGACCACCACGGCAGTAATTAGTGTGACACTTAGCTGGGTGTGATAGTACATGCCTGTAATCCTAGCTACACAGGAAACAGGCAGGAAGATCACAACTCAGTAAGGCATTGTCTCAAATAGGGTTGAGGGTGTGGTCCAGTAGTAGAGCAATTTGCTTAGCATGAAGCCAGCCCTGGATTTCATTCCCAAGCACTACAAACAACACTAAAGCAGGTTGATGGATGACCTCGTCGTGTTCCCGCCAGCATCGACTCATCTGGAAGAAGCTGGTGTCACTGAGTGCTTGGGCCTGCCTGTCGCGCTTCTCTGGGGCCTGCGCCAGGTTGCCAGCTGTGCTCAGGCTGTTCTAGCTCGCTGCAGGCTGCCCCTGTGTCTGAACAGACCTTTCTGGCTGTGTTCCTAAGGCTGGTCCAAGACAGCTCCCCCCCTCATCAGTCAACCGCGGTCAGCGAGCGCGGTGCCGCAGCTTACCTGCTGTGCTGCTGCACGCTGCGTGCCAGGCCTGTGTGTGCGGGAGCCTGGAAGAGAGGCTGCTGCCAGCCCGGTCGCCCTCAGCCCTCACTGCGCACACGGCTGCTGGCGACTTCAGGCCTGGCGGCCTCCCTTCCTGCAAAGGGGGGGTCACTGGGTCACTGCCACCCAGTGCTCTGCACAGTGGATGCCCTATGTCCCATCTTCCCACCATGTCTGCGCTGGCTCTGCCCAACCACCAGGCCCACTTGGTGCCCTGCGCCCCACTTCCTTTCCCTGGGTCTCCGGAGGGGTGCATGCTGGGGAAGCGTCACAGGTTCACAGGCTGGGCGCTCAGCAGGCATGGGGGGGCGTCGGGGGAGGGCAGGAGCGGTGGGGAGGGTGACACTCCAGAGCTCAGTGCAAGTGCTTCATGCTTCATGCCGGCAAGCCTGCCTGGCCGGGCGGCCGTGCACTTGCCAGAGATGGGCTCAGGCAGCAGAGCCAATGGCCTCCTGGGGCTCTGAACCAGGCCAAGCCTCAGAGCAGCCAGCACTGCCCACAGTGGGGCCCGCAGAGAACGCCAGGAGAAATGCAGCAAGCCCACGGGTGGCCAAGCCTGTGGAAGCCCGGCCTCCCTCCCCCGAGCCCACCCTGTCCTCCGTGATGGCGGCCCGCTCTGCGGGTGAGCGTGGTGCCGGGGCCGTGAGAAGGTCCCCGGGGCCTTCCCTCCTGCCCCAGGTGCAGCCGCTGCGGGACACGGAGAACCCCAGCACCTGCCCACCAAGTCTGCATTCCACAGGAGGACAGGCGAGCGTGGATTTCCCTCCATTCCTGTGTGTGAAGGGGAAGCGACGCTCACACAGTGCCACTGGTCCTCAACAATGGCATGCCCCAGCCTGTGGCGTCTCTGGGCGCTTCCTGCCAGAGCCGCGAGCCCTGCTCAGCACCCACTGAAACGGACTCATGATGAGCAGCAACACGGGGCTGCCCGTCGGGCCCCTGCAGGGGGCTCAGGGAGGTGTGGGCGGGGCCTGTCCCAGCACGAACCCCCTCTCCCCCAGCCACTCCTCCACCAGCCTCATTTCTGGTCTGGCCCTGCACGGGTGGCTCAGGCCCCCCTTTCACTGCCCAGCTGTCCTGTGGCCCGGGACAGGGGTGGTGGGAGAGGTCACAGGTCTGCCCCAACAGGACGAGACTAAACTTGAACCCCCAAAACTCGTCCCAACAGTCAAGTCTGAAGAGGAAAAAGGCGGCACATGGATCATCATGTACATTCCAAAATAAAAAGGGGCTCAATAGAGGGTGGGGTTCAGCTCAGTGGGAGAACCTTTGCCTGTCCTGTAGTTAGGCCTGTTGTGGCTCACGCCTGTAATCCTAGCTACTCATGGAGTGAGGGTTGTGGTTCAAAGCCAGCCTGGGCAGGAAAATCTATAAAACTTTTCTTTGGGGGGGGGGTCCGGTTGTGGGGCCTGAACTCTGGGCCTGGGCGCTGTGCCTCAGCTCTTCAGCTCAAGGCTAGCGCTCTACCACTTGAGCCACAGTGCCACTTCCAGCTTCTTTTTGTTTATGTGGTGCCGAGGAACCGAACCCAGGGCCTCATGCATGCAAGGCAAGCACTCTACCACTGAGCCACCCTCCCAGCCGAAGCTTTCTAAGTGAAGTTACCTTGAGCAGATCTCTTCACTACTCTGAGATTCAGGTTTTTTTGTTGTATTTTTTTTTTTTTGGGTCCTGTTGTGGGGCCTGAACTCTGGGCCTGAGCATTGTCCCTCAGCTCTTCAGCCCAAAGCTAGCGCTCTACCACTTGGCTTTTTTCTTTTTGCTTATGTGGTGCTGAGGAATGGAACCCAGGGCCTCAGGCATGCAAGGCAAGCGCTCTACCACTGAGCCACCTTCCCAGCCCCCTATAAAACTCTTATCTCCAATGATGCCGTGGCTCCACGTGGTAGAGTGCTCACCTTAAAGAAGAACTCAGGGACAGTGCCTAGGCTCCAAGTTCAAGCCCCAGGATGGAGGAGGAAGAAGAGGAGGAGGAGGGTGAAGAGGAGGAAGGTGAAGTGGAGAGGGAGGGGGAGGGGGTCGTTAGTAGGAACTTGGCTGAGTGTCAGTGCCTGGCCAACAGAGACACGGCCGCCAGACCCCGGCTGCAATTCCTCTGCTGTGCTCCCATCCCACCCCAGAGCCAAACCAGTTTGGACAACTTTCTTTCTTTCTTTCTTTTTTTTTTTTTGCCGGTCATGGGGCCTGAACTCTGGTTCTGGGCGCTGTTTCTCTGCTCTTCAGCTAAAGGCTAGTGCTCTACCACTGGAGCCACAGCGCCACTTCTGGCTTTTTTTCTTTTTGCTTATGTGGTGCTGAGGAATCAAATCCAGGACCTCAGGCATGCAAGGCAAGCGCTCTACCACTGAGCCACCTTCCCAGCCCCTGGACAACTTTCTTTTGGCACCCAGGAAACAAGGCGGTGAGGACCCTACCCCAGAGCTGGGGATGAGGAGGGGAGAGAGCTGGGGATGAGGGGGGGAGAGGCGCAGCAGGGCTCCAAGGTGGAGGCTGTACCGCTTCGCTAATGGTTCTACCACTGAGCAGTGCTCAGGTCTTTCCAACAAAGTCACTGACTCCAACGTGACCCCAAAGCTCATACAAAGGAGCCACCTGTAATGTCTAGACAGGAGAATGTGAGCATGAAGGGCTGGAGGGGTGCTGCCCAGCCCGCGGTCTGGCCCTGTGAGGGGGTGCAGGGCAGCACCGTGAGCAGCTGCTGGAGCGCAGGGTGCGGAAGGCTCGGCCACCTCCCAGCCATGCCTGAGCGCACCGATCAGAGACAACGCATCTGAATGCTTCGCTGTGTGGGGCAGGGTCTCACAATGTGCCACCCATGGGTTCCAACCCTCCATCTTCCTCCTCCATTTCCCCAGCACTGGGATTACAGACTGCACCATCCATACCTGGCCTGATCTGTGCAAATTCACAGATCAGCTGGTGCTGGAGGCTCATTCCTGTAATCCTAACTACTCAGGTAGCTAAGATCTGAAGATCTTGGTTCAAAGCCAGCCTGGGAAGGAAAGTCTGTGAGACACTTTAACCAACCAAGTAAATGTCAGAAGTGACGCTGTGGTAAAGTACTAGTCTGGAGCAAAACCACTCAGGGACAGTGTCCAGGCTCTGAGTTCAAGTCCCAGGATTGACACGCGTGTGGGCGCGCACGCACGCGCACACAAACACACAATTTGCAAAAGACTCTGCTTCAGATCTTTGTGTTGTGAAAATGAAATAAACCCTAGAATGGGCGGTTTACAAATACATTCCACTGGAGCGCCGCGCAGTGTCGGGTGCAAACGCGGGGCAGCCGTGGCTTCCGGGCCTGGCGGCTCCAGGCCGTGAGGGCAGCGGCAGCGGCAGCGGCGGCGGC